AAAAAAAAAAAAAAAACAATATCGGATAGACACAGAATGTATTTACAATTGCAATCGGCAGGTCAATGCTGGGTCATGAATCTGTTAAATCTTCTCTATCTCTAGTATTTATGAGTGCCTATTGTGCAGAGGCTGACCCTTTGCCCATGGCTGTTACATGTGTTATCCTGCACAAAGGTACTGAAAACTTGTATGAAGCCTCCTATCTAACATTATACAAATGTCATCTCCTAAATTTGTAGATTTTCCATTATCATATACATCTATCATACTCTAAGAATGCAAGATGCTTCAGTCTAGGTTGCACAAAGCTATAAAAAAGGATATGGATGCACTTCAAAAGATTGATACTGATGTAGTGAAAGCTCTATCTTTTGAAAGTCTTGTGCGACACAAATGAATCTTAGCATGAGAGGTTTCACCCAAATGATTGAAAGTGTGTCTTCTAAAGATTACTCCTATATGTATTCGAATCAATTATTATGGAACCCTCCAGGAGCTAAAATGATTAAATGACCTCTGCCCCAATCTGTACTGTGGTGGTTGTTCATCAGCTGGTCATTCAATGATTTCCATCTATATGATATCAGTGTCCCTTTCTAAATAGACATCTTGAGTTAGAAGTTCAGATCAGCCAACAAACTTTTGGGTGAAGAGGCTACCGCAAAGGTTCGGAACTTCAGATATATTTATATGATCTCAAAACTGGTCGTTTGTCACAGACTCTCATTCCAATCATATGGCTCAAAGATGACTATTCGATGTTCTAAGAGCACCGCAGGGCAGGGGCATCAAAGTAGCAGGATAATGGATTTCGTGGTAGTGATTTCTTTCTGTTAACCCGGATAAATTTGGCCGTTGCAATTAAGAGTTTATGGTTTCACCAGAGGAATTTTTTATTACTGTCATCTCTGCATAGAAGATCATGGAAGGATCCTATTTGTGCTCCGGCATACTTTTAGAATTTGGTTTACCTTATAGTAAAGTATTTTATCATGCTTAGACTACCCCATCATAAATGGCTTCATTTGCTGTTGTAGTTGCAAGCTATACCCCAGCTAACCTTGCACCTATTTCCTAAAGTTTAGGCTTGAAACATTATGAGGAGTGCAACTTGACAGGGAAACCCACAAGATGTTCATATTCGTTCTCTAAAGGAAATTAGATAGAATACGAGTATAACAAAAGACCTCGATCATGGACCTAATTGAGTAAAACAAACAATGAACATCCACATACCATGGTATACCCCAATATAATATCTCCCTTCCCGGAAACAGAAGAAAAGAAACGCATTTTGACTTTGAAGATAAATATTATGGTGGATGCTAAACTTGTGAAGGTTTTGGATAATCGGACATAAAAACTTATACTAATATTGACAAATTGGAAAATGGTGGTGAAATGGTATCAAAATCTGCAAAAATTACGGCTTTGCTAAAGCATTGAAATTGACAACAGAAAGTGCTCTATTTTCTTTAGCATTTCACTAACCAGTTGCCCTTAAACTGTGAAACTGGCCCTCCAGGTCTCCTCTGATCCCACCACTGAAGAGAATTCCCCAATCCACCCGTAGCAAACTCGGTGGGAGACGCCCATCGGGATGCGGTATAAGAAACTAACCCTTTACTATCAAAAATCCGACGATAATCCAACCCCGAATCGCCAACACTGATCAAGTTCACTCTCCCATCTTCTCCAACACTCACACATGCCGAACCATTTTCCTGCAAATCCAGGCACGTAATTGGTCCCAAATGTAAGGTCTTCTCGGGTATAGAAACCTCGGATTCAAATGATACGTCGATAGGGTTTGGAAAAAGAACGTGAAGGGAGCCAGCGAAGGTGGAAGCAGCAATTAGGGGGTTTTGGAGGGACTTTTGTGCAACTTTTAGGGACGATATTCTGGAGGACAATGTGAATGAAGATTGCAGGGTTAGAATCGGCGGGGTTGAAGGGTTTAAGGCATGAATCTCGATGGAGGTTTCGTCGGAGTCGGAGTTGAATGACGCTACAACAACGTAGCGGTCGAAGGCGGAGAGAGGAGGTAGAAACCGGAGGGCGTCGACGTAGGTTGATTGTGGAAGCCTGTGGAATTGCTTTAGAGTTTCTGTTGCCATTGTTAGGGTTTTAGGATGAACACAGAAGTAAGGGGAGAGTTGCCGGGAACGCTTAAGAACTCAAAAAATATTGAGTTTAGCTTTCTTTTTAAAAGGTTTCCAATTTGATTCCTCCATTACTTTGAAGCTCGAATTTGAAATCTCAAAAGCCCTTTCCATGCCTGCGCTTGAGAATGGTGTTGGTGATTCCCATTATGATTTCAACTTTTGTTATGATGTTACCAAGTATTACAATTGCTAGGTATTTTCATGATGTAGCCTATACACGATTAATGTAAGGATATATTTCGATTTCAATGTTTTATTTCATTTTTTTGGTCTATGTTAATGTTATAATACGAATTCATATGATTTTAAATAAATAATAATATTTTTTTAGTAAAAATATAAATTTAAAAATATCATAAAAGTTAAAAAAATTATAAAAGTTCTATTTTTTTATGTAATATTTTTAATTCAATTTTTTATTATAATTTAATTTAGGTTTAATGACGAAGTAATTCATTTTTGGTTTAATAATATAATTTTTATAAAGATAATAACTAACAACTCACTAATTATCCTAATTATATTTTAAATATATTTAAAATGAGATTTTTATATTGTATTTGATTACATTTATCTACAGTTAGTTACACGAATTCAAATATGGAGTTTTTAATAAGTTGTACTTATATATAATTTACTTGTAATCTTGAATTTTAAATAATATGCATCAATAAGTAATATTTCATGTATAAAAGATGGTTTTTAAGAGTTTTTGTCAAATGTTTTATAATATAGTATTGATCAAGTCTTTAAACTGTTTTTTTTTTTTTTTTTGAATGAATAAACCATTAAAACTTTCTCATTTTAAATGATTAAGTCACATAACATTTTCTAATAAATAAACCATCGAACTCCTAAAAATTAGTTATCTACATTCATTTAACCTAAAAAAAACTATTCGTAACCAGCCAATAATGCTTTAAAGTAAAAAAAAAATAACTTAAATCAGTTTTACCGATTTAAACCCTAACCTCGTTCAAACCTCTTGTACCCAATGAATCACTCCTCCTCGCCACCCCTCGTCGCCTCATAGTCATCTTCTATCCATATTGCCCATCACTCCTCCTCATAGCTCATGCTATTGATCTTCTTTTTTATATCTTTTTTAGCTTTTCGATCTCCCCTCTTTACAACAATTTTACGGATTACGTATATTCAAATCGAAAAACAAAAAGAAGAAAATTGATGGCAGAGGCCAACGAAGGTGATAGAAAGTGCCCCGATGATGGGGCATCAATGGGTGACGAGGGGAGCAATGACGTTAGATGCAAGGGGTTTGAATGATATAGGGTTTAGAAACAGTAAAACTGGTTTTTTTTTTTTAACTTCAAAACTTCTTATAATCAGTTACAGATAGTCTTTTCAAATTAAACATAAGAACTTATTTAGGTACTGAATTGATCATAAACACTAAAAATAGTTTTGTAGAGACAGACATAACAGATTGAGAGGTCTGAAATGGCCATTTTACCTTCTTTAAATCAAAACAAGCCTTGTTGGACATACCTACAAAATCTTGGAATTGTTTGTTACCTTATCCTATCATCTCTCCCAATTCTCCCCTCCGCCATAATTCATCAATCCTATCGTTGCCCCATCTCTTTTGTCTCTACTTCTACTTCCATTTATTCTCAATTCTCCATTAAATACCTGCACTTTCTCATGTCAACTTATCATCTGTTTCATTTTTGTTCAATTCAGTTTTAATAGATTTGAAGAAAATACAGGTTTCGACTTGAGTTTATGCAGATTTTGAGGGAAATTGGATTATGATGGTTGCTGTGTTTGATTGAATCTTCATGAATACATAATTAAATCTTGATTAACCACTTTATAATATTGTCATTGAGCTAATCAATCTGTTGTGGCTCTCTGTTTGATTCGATTTGATTATGGCTCCGAAAGCTAGTAGAGGAAAACCTCACAAGGCTAAGAGCGAGAAGAAGAAGAAAGAAGAGAAAGGTATGTTATACAGTAACTTTTTTTGTGTGTGCATCGTTTTAAAACCACATTGACGAATGCTTTGAAGAACTGCTTACGAAATCATTATCTATGTTATTTAAAATTGCTTGCAACCAAAATTGATTTGTCTGTAGAGTTTCGATTCATGTCAGACTAATATGTTTTTTTCTTTTGAATAATTTTTTACTTCCATCGTTCACATACATATTACATCTCATTGTGTTAAAAATATATTGTCCTTAATCATAACAAAATATACAGACATATTGGTTTAATTTTATTAACATTATCGGTATTTTATAAATGTTGTTAATTGTAAAATAAATAGATCTGAAAATATCCATAAAATGATCGTATATTTTTTATACCATTTTGAAATAAAAATAGTTGCATTTTGCAAATAGAAAAAGTAAAAATTTATGACTATGTCTGAAAAATGAAATTATAGTAACTCATTTATATGTAATATGAAAATGATTATATGTATGTAAAAGTTTGTGAAAATGACTTAAAAGTTAAAATAAAAGTAGATGAATATAGTTGGAAAAAATCAAGTTAGATAAAAAGGTCAACTCATCCAAAGATACACATTATAACTCTTATTTTCACACGATCATTTGTCATATATATATATATGTGTGTGTGTGTGTGTATGTATGTATGTATATATATATGTTAAAAATCAAATATTGTAATTACAAAAGTTGTTTTTTTTTTTTTTAATTTATAAAGATTTCATAGTCACAAAATGTCACTTTCATGCAAATTTTGTTTTTAAGGAACAATTCTATTGATTTAACATATTATTATTCTATATAAAATACCAAATAATACACACGATATCAAACTAATATACCAAAAAAATGAAATTACACCTGGCATTAGACCGTAATATTTATTGCAAAGTTTGTTATTACACATAATAGCAACCTAATATAGAAAATAATTTAACGTGTTTAATGCATAAATTTTATGTAATTGAGTATTAGGGTTCATTCAAAAAAGAACTGATTAATTTGTGATAACTATGAGATCTAATATCAACCATAAATCAATGGAGAAAATTATGAAACTAATATTTTTGGTAATTGACTTAAAATTATAATTAAAGAGCATTTTAGGTATTTTAAATTTTTCTCTCCCCTCTCTCCCTCCTCCTCTCATACATTTGGCTTCCAACGAACACCATGTGATACATAAAATACACCAAAATACACAATATGGTACTCAAAATATGTACAATGTGATACCCAAAACACACTAAGTAAACTTTGAGACCAGTGTAATACAAATTATGGTACTACTGTGATACCAACTGTGGTGGGGATGGGGGAAGGGAGATAGGTAGTGAGGGGGTCACAAATACAAAGATGGGGCTAGCTGTCGGGAATGCTCACAGGTGTGTGTTTAGTGGTCGATTATCGGAGACGACGTCTTGGTCAGACAAGATTACCGGAGAAGGTCGCTGGAGTGGTGGTGGGTGTAGCAGAAGACCACTGAATTTGTCCTTGTGTGTCCGTGTGTGTGTGTGTATATACATATTAAAATAATTAAACTAATTAAAGTAAATTGAATAATCAACATAATTTACTAATTTACCCTTTGTTTTATTTTAATAAATAACATTAGTTATCTAAAATTATTGGATCATATTGGACCTCACAGTTAGCACAAACTAAGTTCTTATTTGATTAGGCCTCTTACCGTGTTTATATATATATATAAGGGCCCATTCAAGAGAGAACTGATTAGTTTGTGGTAACTGTGAGATCCAATCTCAACCACAAATCAACGGATAAATTAAGAAATTAATAATTATGATAGTTTGAGTTAAAATTATAATTAGAGGACATTTTAGGTATTTTTAAAAAACTTCTCTCTACTCTCTTCTCTCTCATCTCTCCGACCTCCAATCTCCGGCTTCCGATGAACAAAAATCCGGCAGGTACCAAGTATTCACAAAAATATACAATGTGATACTCATTGTGATATACTGTGATACCCATTGTGATATATTGTGATACCATTTGGGTACCACTATATATCACATTGTGTATCTTTGTGATTACTTGGTACCTGCTGGATTTTTTTTCATCGGAGAGAGGTGAGAGGAGTTTTTAAAAAATACCTAAAATGTCCTCTAATTATAATTTTAATTCAAACTATCATAATTATTAATTTACTAATTTATCCGTTGATTTGTGGTTGAGATTGGATCTCACAGTTACCACAAACTAATCAGTTCTCATTTGATTAATCCCCTATATATATATATATATATAGAGAGAGAGAGAGAGAGAGAGAGAGAGGATGAAGTTTATTTTGCAAACTATGTTATTTGTACAAACCGTACAAACCCATTCAAACAATCATAAGTTTTCATTTTTTTGTAATTATAAGAGGTTAATTAATAATTTTTATTGTGAATGGTGTTAATCATGAATATTATCATCTTTATTATATTAATTATAAAGAAATACATGAAACAATTTCATTAAAATTTCATAACCATATATGAAACAACTCAATCTAAAAAAGTATTTTATGAAACAATTTCATAATATAAAACAATTTTATAAAACAAAATCATTAAATTAAACAATAAAATGAACGAATAAGAGTAGTTTGCATGGTTTTGTATAAATATGAGTGGTTTGCATTTGATCGCTTATACATACATACATATATATATATATAGAGGAGTGATCAAATAAAAACTGTCATCATTTGTGTAAACCGTGCAAACCACCTTCATCCGTCGATTTCATTGTTTAATCTTATGAAATTTTTTCATGAAATTGTTTAATCTTGTGAAATTCTTTCATATAATATTTTTTTTGATGAAATTGTTTCAT